AATGGAGTTAACAGTCTATATAGACAAGTTCAATAGTAGAGGAAGGAATCACTATCCCCATTTTACAACCGGGCAAACCTAAGTTCAAACAGGTTAAAGATCTGTCTGGACTGAGAAACTAATGTGAGTTTAGCAGGTTCATTAGCTAACACATTTTAATTAGTACATTTTTAGTCATCTCTTGATGACCAGAATGCACAAACAGATTAATATTTAGAAACAGTCTGTGGTCAATAGTATAACTACTATTTTGTGAGTAATGACAACTTTTTTTTCTTATAGCTGCAATTTACTGGCACTGCAGTGTGTCTGTTTCCAACTAGTTCTGACATAATTGTTTGTATTGTTAATTATATGTAATAATGATTTTTGCAATTGAGATTTTTGTAAGAGCATATATTCTGTGCATACATTTGAACTATTCTTTGACCAATGGGAATATGCTGGGAGAAGGATGAAAATTATAGTACAGCTGTTTAATTTAGTACAGTATGTTTAATTTAGTTAAGAGGTGGTCAATATATGACAGGTTCAAAAAGAAAACCAAATTAAATGGATTTGCCTGATACTTTTATTGCATTGGTTAGAGGATCTTAACAGATTGAGCTCATTTTTTAGGAATGCTGTCTATTACACCCAAGAGGTTATTGAGAGATGAACAGCTATACAATTCTGAAGCACCTGAGTGACTTAAAAGTGTAACTGTGATTCTCTCGAGCAGCACAGAGACTTGGAAGTCTGGTTTCCACTGGTTTTTAAGGAGACCTCTGTTCATAAGTGTGCATGATTTTTTAAAATGTGGACTCTAAAGAAGGATTTACTGATGGATCCCAGAAAAAGAAGAAGACACTGTAGTTGTTATGTTTTTTCCCAGAGTAGAATTCTTTCAAAACACAGCTCTTCAGAACTTTCTAGGAAAGTTTCTTGTCCTCTTGGTTTAGGAGTTCTCGTCTTCCAAATGTAGTTTTGATGAAAATTCATAACTCAAGTTGAGATAGTTCTTCAAATAACCATACCCAAATCTCTAAAATATTTTGGATGTGATTGTCAAGGCCTTTCATTTTTCTTTGCATTCAACAGACAGGCAGTGAACAGACAAGCATACTAGATGAGGTGTCAGATACATTTTTATTATCTTTTGGCATAGTAATTTCAGCGGCAATAGCTGAGATCAGTGCTTGAGAATTTTAGCCACTCTCTATGCATTTTCTTTCAGGACAGTCCCTACTCTAAAGATCCTGTAACCAAAATAGAGGTAAGGGATCATATAATGTACAGTCAAGAAACTGGGGATTAGAGGATTTGCCAAAGGCCATAAACAAGTAAGAGAAGATTTTAGATCCCTCAGAGAGGTGATTCACCAACATCAGAGTTGAACTGCATCAGTGGGCTGCAGACAGATGAGTGTCCAGCACTAGTCATTTTGCATCTACATCCATCCCGATTCTATTACAGAGAATCAACCTCCAAAATTTGCTCCTGCGCAGGGAAACCCAGACAAATTAAATTGCCCAGTTTTAAAGAAGGACTTTGAAGCTTTGGACCACTGGCATTTGTGTCAAGCTGGGGTTATTTACAGGCTGCTGTGAAGGGGCTTAACTAGCAGCATTAGCCAGTTTTTCACCTCTTGGAGACAAAACTATCAAATCCTTGAGTTCTGAGTGAGGTTGAAGAGGTTTTTCACTTTGAGGCGTCATGTTACAACCTCTGCTAGAGGCACACTAGGGCAGCATGGTTCTTTTTGTTTTCAATATACAAAAAAACAGCATGCAGGAGGTAGAAGCAGAGTCTGGCTACAAGGATAGAAGTTAGAAACATTGTCCAGGAATGTAGGGTTTGTGTTAGGAAAGCCAGAGCTCACCTGGAGTTGAAGCTTGCAAAGGGATGTCAAGGGCAGCAAGATATATTTAAATTATATGTGTCACTTAGGGACATGATTTAGTGGTGGACTTGGCACTGTTAGGTTTATGGTTGGACTCTATGATCTTAACGGTCTTTTGCAACCATATGATTCTATGATTTTGCAGACTAACATGTGATTAAATCATTAGTCCCTATGGATCAGTGGCTATATTGCCACATGTAAGTGGAACCAAGATTTCAGGCAAGATGTCTATCTAGAATCATCAGTCTTGTCTGAGCTTTAAAAACAGAAGTGTCTGCTTTAATGAAAAGATCGGATTCCTTACTCAAACATTCTTTTTTCCTTCCTACATTTGCACGTTAGTAAAATTGATTGATTTTTACAAGAGTATATGTAGCTGAAGTCAGCCAATTGCACTGTTAGATAATTTCATCTTTAATGGCCTGAAGCCTATCAGTAAACCAACCTCAGGCAGAAAGTTGCAGAAGCATGAAAGTCCAGTGCAATTTTCAAGTAAGGTTGTACTTTCACTCCTAGTTTCATTTCTGCTTGATGGAACATAACAGTAAGTTGGTGGGGGATTTTTTTGTGTTTGTTTTTTTTTTTTTTCAAGTCAATAAAAATATAACAACTCAATAATAACATGGAATAAGTAATGCTTTTCTTAAAAATGTCTGTCAAATGAAATGAATGATACTTTACCGACAGTTTAGCAGAGTAACTACTATGACAGGATCAGTGTCTTGTGTTTTAAAAACAAACTTCTTTGCTCTGAGTCAACATCTGCTTTGCCTTGGCCTTCATTTAGCAGCAGGAGACCATTATCCTGTGATGACTTTCTATTCCACTGACATCTCATCTGGTGCACCGATATTCTTAGTATTTTACTCCCCTGCTGTGCCCCTTCCCCTCAACCACACACACACAAACACTCTTTATCTCAGCCTGTAGAATGCTATGTTCTGCTGTTTCTATGAATAGGAGATTACACATAATGTAATCAATCAGTTGTTTCTACCACTAAGGAAAAGTGTGTCCTTCCAATTAACTTCTTATATCCTAATAAGCAAACAGCAACAGTCTTGGATAGGTGCCTGAAATCATGAACATTTATCTAAACTGCCCTGACATACAGAATCAGAGGTGGGGGACTAGACCATCTGAGAAGGCAAACTTTCTTGCAAAAGTTACAGCCTTTCAGATCTGGTCTGGTTATTGCCAGGGATAGGAAAATGGAAAATAATAATGAAATAAACCAACTACACTTTTACAAAGACTCGACTTGTTTTAGTTTTGGGGCAAATATTTGCAGGCAAACTGGTTTCCCCACACTTATTTGAGATAAATTATTACTCACATTTATTAAATCTGTTAAGTTTATGGTTTTAGGGCAGTTAATTTGTAATGCTATGTCTTTTAATACAAGAGAATACATCAAAGCAGGAATTTCTTCAGCTCAAGTTCGCATTTTTTTTCCTCCACAAAGGAAAAAAGAAGAACATAATATCAAAATGTAACAATGCTTGTACTGGAGCAGTCCAGAGGTCTATTTAACCTAAGATGTCAACAAGAAGATACTTAAGGAGTAAGTGTAAGAAATAGGACAAGAATTGTGCGATTCTACAGCTTTCCTGATTTTATGATGGTGCAAGGACTAGATGAACCCTGGGGGCAGGGCAGGGAGGGAAATTGCTGTTATGGTTTGCAGAGCTTCTGGAAGCACTCAGTGCCTAATGGGGTGAGAAGTTTCCTCCTTCTGTGTCTTTGTCTCCTACACAGACATGCATATCCCCACATACACTAAAGTAATGGAGTACCACCATGGGATGGGAGCCTGTGTATGCTTTCTTTAAGTTGGTATTTTGGATGGACTCAGAAAGCCTTCTGGATGAGTCAGTCAAAATGCAACCAGTTTCCCTGTGTGTGCTTTTGAAGTGCCTGCAGTGAGTACCACAGCCAAAACCTGTCCTTTAGTATTATTATTTTTAATCTAAGTAGGACTAAAAGAGGATGTGTTATATGATGGGCTTACAGGCATGGTTTGAACCTGTCACCAGCATCAAATTACATCTCTCACATTAAAATGCAACCTCCTCAATTGTGTTTATTATACCTGAGTGTAAGCTGATTGTGATGGACAGTGATAGTCAACTGAAGCAAGTAAGCAAGACAAAGATGGCTTTGTTTGGTTTTCTTTTTTCTTTGAGTGGTTTAAGCTAATGCATCTGTATGTGATCAACTGAAAAACTCTTCCATGTACTTTTTTCAATGTAAAACTATGATCCTTACATTTTCTTTTCTATCCTACCTTCTTTAAAGAACCACAGTAGGAACTTGCAAGATAAAACTAGTATTGCTGCCTCCTGCTTCAGATTATTTAGTGCATACTGCAGAACCACTGTGTGTATTTTTCTTGTTCATGGATTGTTTCACTGCCTTATACCTAAACAGCTAGAACGTACTGGCATTCAGGATTAGTAGCTTATTCTAGCTGAAGTTAACATACAAGTCTTTACAGTAACTTGAACTAGTTTCAATTGAAACAGCATTTTCCTAGTTCAGTATTTTGGCTGTATTGTAGATTTCTACTCTTCATCTATTGCCAAATGCAGTTGACATTTTTGTGGAGGTAATTAAGACAGGAAAGGAGGAGAAGAGTATAGACTTTCTCACAAATGTGTCTTGGGTTTGTTTCAAATGTTTTCAGAAATGGTATTTTCATCTTGTATTTGTGTATGTTGTATTTTGGGATGTTTGCAATCGTCATGGTATATACTCTGCCAGGTTAGGTGACTATATCAGGAGAAAGATCATCCGAATTATTCCCTTTTATGCTCTACCTTGGAGTAAATGTAGACTTAGTACATGGTATCTCTTGATCACAAGAGATGTGACAGGAAAAACTGTTGAAAAATGATGATTTGTATTTCAAGATGACTGAAACAACGCCATTTGAATCAAAGGCTATGATAGAGCTCCATGTGGAATATCCCTAATTTTCGAGTAATTTAGAGCATCCCAATTAAAGCATTTTTTCTGTTAGTTCTTACTTCTTTACCACGAGAGGAAAGCAGATTAATGTGACAGTGAGAAAATGATACTCATATTTTAGACTATTTTCCATATTGTCTTACAGTTCGTTGCCATATTGAAGAACAGTAGTTTTCTGACCCTAATCTACATGTTTCTGAAAGATGGGCTGTCTGAATTAATCTTAAGGTAAGATTCTAATACTTATATCTTAGGCATCTGACACATAAAGCTGACAAGTTTGCATCTGAGTTTTCCAGTAAAGAAATACATGCAAATACAGTTTAAGGCACTGGTAAAATATATGTGGCAAGTATTTGATCCAATGCATGAACACAGCAAAGAACTGCACATGAGCAGATCTAATGTAGTTGAGAAGCACTGAACTTATTCTTGCACAAATTAAGTGTGTGGTGCAGGGATGGTAAATCTGGTTCTTCTAGAAAATTTCTAGTTAAGCAGCATGGCTTCGTAAGGAGGAGGGCATCTTGAAAAACTCCAGCAAGCTCTTTTTTTTTCAAGGTTGGGATGGGACCTCTTTAAAGGAGAAAGTAGGAGATAGTCAGTGTAGAAAATTTTAAGTGTTAAAAATGCTAAACGTGTGAGTCCTTTATTTTTAATTATGTCTGTACAGGAAAGATACATTTATGGAGCACACTAATTCTTCAATGAATCAGGCCAGTGAGGCTCAGGGTCCCATATGCACAGGATACCTTGTCTGGTATGTTCTGATAGCTCTATTAATGCCTTTGGCCTTGATTTTGGGAACGAATCAGTCCTCACCAAGACAGTAGAGCACTGGATACCCATTAGACTGTTCTTTGAATGCTCCACTGAGGCCGCATTTGCTCTCCAAAGAGATAGTGAGCCAGCAAGTGTGGGAGCCAGCATGTGTAACATATACGATGGCTTGCACTGTTATTAGGCAGTTTGGTATGCCACATGGGTAATTATGTTTGTAAGCTATCTGAAGAAGTGAAAGGTACATGTATGGAAGGAGGGAAAGTCAACAATACTCATACTTTCGCAATCTTTCCTGAAAGGCTTTATAAACATAGTCATTGCATCTCACCCTTTATACAACTGTAATTTCCAGACATAAACTTTAAAGGTATTATTGTGTGTTTAAATCTATTAAATACTCTCAAAAATGTTAATAGAGAATTCTTTTGCTCTGCAAATACAAGTAATTTTCATTATTTAGAGTATGAATGATGAGGTAAACCAAGTACCATCTAAAGCACTTTGTGGTTTTATTCAAATGGATGTTTGTAAATACTTCTTGCAAAGCATTTCTTCACCCTGTATTTGCTCAGCATTAATCCCTGAAAAAAAAAAATCTGTGTGGTCAGTGAAGACATCCAATAGAAAATTGATCTGCTGAAGTACTTCTCTCAGAATTAAATTTGCTTATATAACATGCTTCTTTAAATGTTTTTTTTCTTTAAATCATACAAACCCCACATGTAATCTATACATACAACTCCCCCTCTCTGCTATCTTCCATGCTCTCATTTCATCTGCCTCGTTCCTTTTCTCTGTCCATTTTTGTCTTCATGTTTTTTTCCATGCTGCTGGTTGAACTTAAGATATCAGCTTTTTATTCGTGTGCTTTTACTTCTTCTTAGCTCAGCTGACTACGTAATACGTATTGAAAAATATAATTTCTCACTATTTTCCAGCACAGATTCTTGTCCAGTGCTGACAGTACACTAAAGGATGTATGTAAGCAGCAGCTGTGCTGGGACATTTAATGTCCTGTCTGGTTACAGCTCTGTCACCCCCACCTGCCCCCACCCCAGCAATCACTCACAGAGGTTTTAGTCTTCTTCAGCAGTCGTTCTTTGATGCTTCTGGAATGCAAAGGATTCATTTCTAGTCCTCACAAGATATATTGCAGAGTATATAGATGTACGGAAATCGGAGCTTAGCTGTTTTTTGGGACTGCCAAAGTTTCACTGTAAACACAACTTCAAACAGAGCTGCTTTCTTTAGACTTACGTTTATCCTGAAATTAGCAGCTTGTTTTCATTGTGAATGTGCTTGTGGGAAAAGTCTGTTATACTGTAGATAACTTTCACCGTTGCCCAGAAATTATTGCTATATAGCTAGGTACAAGTAGACTGTTTGGGCAACACAGGCTGTTCTCTCTGGATTTTATTTGAATATGTTGGCACTGGATTCGAGCCCGGAAGGTAAACTTGATGGTTGGTGTTATAAAGGCCTGTTCCTGCTTTTGCTGAGGTTGCAACTGAGTAACTGTAGTAGTCTATAAACTATTGAAACTTTTAGCAGTTCCAACTCCTGGATCTGTATCTTTGCTATACTAAGAATTCATCCCAGTGTTGGAACAGCAGCATTCTTCAAGGGCCTGGGCTGCCATTTCATTAGCTTGAAGCAGCCTGTATTTGTGAAGGTCCTGCTTCTGTCACTCAGCACCATGAGTCTTTGCTCAGGACACCCTTCTCTCACCTGAATATCTCTCTTATTTGACATGCTGTGTTTTTCATTAAGACTCAGGTCAAAACAATCCTTTCAACGGCTTGAATTCTTTGACTCTGCACAAAGAGTAAACACGGACAGCAGGTTTCCATCTTGGCTGAAGATAGATTTGAATTGATATGCACAATACACCTGAATTCCAGGGAGCTCAGAATCTTCTTCTGATTCATTAGCAACCATCATTAATCTTGACAGAACCTCTAAAGGACATAGTAATATTTGCATTTTGTCCAATCCTATTACTCAGATAACTGCCAACAGTCAGGCAGTACTGTGTTATCCTAGAATTAACAGATAAATCTTCCCCATGCGCTAATGCCTAAGTAGCTGGAGTTTTAACAGAACAGTTAATGTGACAAGTCTTATGATGTTAATTGGGGCAGAAAATGAAATATTTCTACTTGGTAGAAAAGAACAAATGTCCCAATTTAAGATGCAGACAAATCTCTGACTTGTCTGCAACTTAAAAAGAAGTGCATATGGCCATCTTTACTGTTGTATGTGTCTAAGCTTGCACTACGCGAGTTGTCAGAACTGTTTTTCTCAGAATAGTATTTAAAAGGGGGAAATAATAGTTACAAAGAAAGATTTTACCTCACACATTATTAATTTATCTGAGCAGCTTACACATACATTGGATGATCTGTAACTCTTCTAAAAAGAATCTGTGGATCTAAAAAGTATCCTTCTTGCACAACCATGGATTTGAATTCCTTGCCCAAATATGCATGTGAGTGTCAATACATAAAGTGCATTAATGTAGCATGTAATTTTCTGTTGATGAGCACTGACAGCTTCACAGTAAAAATCCATATATAACACTCTTTAAAATACATGTGTACATTTATAAATTTTTTTTAACTATGAATTCTTTTACATTCAACAGGAAAACATTTTGCTTTTAAGCTAAGTAATCTTCAGAAGAACTGGAGGTGCTGATAGAGTAATTGTGTTTATTCTTCCAGTTTCACAATTTCTGTCTTATAAACATTGTTTTGCATTATTGGGCTCCACGTTTCCCCTTCTCATCTGATGTTTTACAAATATTTTTCTAATTGCTTGAGACAGTGTGGTCCAATAAAATTACATCGACTTTCTGCTGAACTTGTTTGTCTGATCCACTGCCAAAAGTTGTAGGCAGCTAGGCAGCACACTTGGTCTCACTTTCTTTCACTCCCCCTCCTCTAAGGCAATGTTTTCAGACAGCCCTCTACCCTTAAAAGAACATGCATGTGAAGACTTAAGGTTGTGAAGAATGCATTTTACATTTGTAAGTCATTCAAATGCTTCAACAAGGCACTGCATCCTAGCAGATTTTTAAGAAAACTGCATCCGTTTCTGTCTGTAGATTGTTATGTAATTAAGTTAATACAGGTAAGTCATACATTATATTTTAAAGCAGAAGTACTTGTTTTGGCTTGGGGCCCATTCATGTTTCAGTGTAACAGCTACTCTCAGCCTTAATGCGGTATTTCTCCATCTGATAAAGGACAAATTACAGCTAGAAGTGTCCAGAAACTGAGGTACTGTGTTGCCTTATCACCCTGAGAGTCCACATAAAGAAGGTACAAGGGGATATAACAGCTGACACACGCAGCTGTAAAGTACTCTATATTTTTACAGTGACAGGGATATTCAGAGGAGAATTGCTATACTGTTGTTGTGAGTGTCTGAAAGAGCTAACAGAACAATGAACTATTATTCTTGAGTCTTGATAACAGAATGCCTTATAATGAGGGATGAATTGTAACTAGCTGTGAACTGAAAATAGACCCGTCTTTTTCATTGTCATGAACATGTTGCTGTTTATGATCAGTTTGACAGACACTTTCTTCATACTATTATAGCTTTTCTGCTTTTTTGTCTTTTCTTTTTTTTTTAATTATAATGAGATGAGTCTGTAATTTCTTTCCTTACTGTACATAAGTTTGTTGGTTTTTACTTTTGGAACAACCATGTGTACATCGTGCACCTCATTTCATGTGTGTTTTTGAGCATTTACTTACCATGTGCCACATTTTGTGTGATGGAACATGATCAGGTCCAAGATCTCCTAAAATAATTGGCTGCTTGATATCTGGAAGCATTTTAAAAAGTAACTCAAGAAAAAAAAAACAAAGCAAATAGTGCTGGTTTGCCACAGTGGAACAGATACGGTATGTGATCAGTTAGCTGCAGCCCACAGATAAACACAGACAGACAAGCTAGCAAGAGTAAACAGAAACCACATTATTGTCCCACTCAGACTTCTGGCCTCATGTTTGTTAAGTGATTTCTAGAGTCTGAAAAGCAAAACAAGAATTTCCAAGTACGGATAGCTGAATTTGACATTATTTGATATGAGGCGTCTAGGGTTCTTTTTAATCTTCAGCATCAGTCATTTTCTAGTCGTCTTTCTCTCTGGTTAGTTAATAAAGACATGGGTTGTATAATGGATGGCATTTATCAGTGCAACCTCATTTAACTTTTTAAGAGCTGCATAAGGCATAAACATTATCTCTCTGGCTTGGGCAAATTACTTGACATCCTTCGTAACATAAGAATACCTAATAGTAATCTCAGAGAGTTTGTCGAAGCCTCCAGATGTCAGGGGCTATGGAAGTGTAAAGTATTATTACAGATGTTTCTCATAATAATAATACATCTGATAGCAGGGCAGAAAAAGGAATGAAGGGCCAAGTACTTCA